GCGAAGCTGGAGCGAGCTCAAGTCCACGCTCTCTGAAACTCACACGCCGGATCGGCGGATTTGGGAGCGGCGGGCGACCGAAATTGCAAGCTGCAATCGCAGCTAGGGAAAACATATTTCTGGGCCGCGGGCGACCGCAACCACAACCCACCCACAACCGCAGATGGAAGCTCATTTTGTGCCGCGCTGGCCGCAACGCGGAACCGCAAGCGGGGAGCACACCGGGCCGCGCCAGAAAACGTATTTGGGGCCGCGGGCGACCGCAAGTGCAAGCCGCAACCGCAAACAGGGGAATAATTTGGGGACGCGGGCGACCGCAACCGCAGTCAGCTAACACATTTTCGGCGCGGGGCAGCTCAGTCGGCGCTGACATCACGACGCGCAAGTTTGGACGCTGCGCTTGCTGGGCTATCACAGGAAAGAGTGGCTGAGCTGGCAGCGCCTGATCGCATCGCACGGGCAAGAGTCGCGGTTGGTAACCCTTCGAGTCCACGGGAAGACCCCATCCCCCAGGGAAGAGACGCTGGCAGAGGCAAGAAAGGCTGCAGCAAGCGCACAGTGGGTGCGCGGCAGCTAAACATTCGAGTCACGCGGCAGAAGGTGGCACAGTGAACAGGGGCTGCGAAATCGTTGGAAAAAACAGGCCATCGCAATCAGGAGCCGCAAGTTCAGGCAAATTTGGGCCGCGGGCGAGCGCAATCGCGACTCGCAACCCGAGGGGTGGGGCACATTTGGGACTGCGGGCGATCGCCTTCCGCGAACGCAGCCGCAAGCGGGGGCTCATGCTGGGCCGCGGACGAACGAAATTACACTGTGCAACCACATTCGGGGAAAACTTGTTGTGCCGCGGCCGACCGCAACCACAACCGCAACCCGACAGGAGCATGACTTAACTGTAGACTCTTAGGGCCACTTTGAGGGGCAACTCCAGGACCCTCGGGCCCTCGTGGACAATGGTGGAGGCCTCTTGGGACGTCTTGGGAGTTATTCAAGGCCGTTCGATGGACGTGTTTCGATTGTAATGTCCACGCGCGGTCCCTTCACGTCCTCGCATGGACGACTGCGCGCCGCGGCAGGCAGTCCCGAAGGTTTCGATGTTGGCATTTTTGCCGAGCGCGCGGGGTGCGCCGAGTGCGCCAGGGCCAACCTCGATCATGCTCTTCGCACGCGCGGGCGCGCGCGCCCGCGGCGGGCGTTCCGCGGGCCAGTCGGGGCCAGGCTGCGCCGTTCGGGCGCCAGGGTTGGCCGGGCAGCAGCGGCAGCAAAACGGACAGCAAGCAGCGCTGGCCCGTCCGTGTCCCACCCTATTGTTCGTTATCGTTGGCATCGCTCCCCACATCGCACCATGTTTTATGCATCGTCCGTATCGCCCCCATATTTAAAGGAAGACAGCTCGGCACGTAGAATCTTCTTTTCCAGCGAGCGATACGCGCAATATGCTACAGCGAGGACCGATGGAACGAGTGGTACGAGCGGCGCGTGAAAAGCAGGCACGGGCGGACTGCGGCGCACCTGGCGCGCCTCGCGCCCTTGCTGCCTGATTGCGTCGCGGAGACAGCACTTCTCAGTTCCAGTCCCGTCTGCAGTCGCTCGCGCGCTCTCTCGCGCAGCTCACTGCGCAGACTGGGCTGCCACTCTGCACCTGGCTGCCCCATGGCTGCCCCATGGCTGCACCTGGCGGGACACGGCGGGCGGCTGCGCGGAGCGCGCGAGGCGCCGCCGCGCCGGGGGCTCGGGCCAGCCGCAGGCTGCGGCCGGCAGTCCTGGCGGTCGCTCTCGCTGCACGTCTTCGCGCGGGCAGGTGCGTCCCGGACGGCCCGTCCACGTCCTCGCAGGGACACCTGCCGTCGGGGCCCAGGCCAAGAAGCACCCTGTTCGCCTCCAGGGTGCCCTGGGCTTCTCGGGTTCCGATGGTTTTGCGACGGAGAGCGTGGCGCGCCCACGCCAAGAATCAATGGACGTCCTGGGGTCTCATGGCTGAGTTTCTTGTGGAAGGTTTCTTGTGGACTGGCCTCCGCTGCATCAGCCGCGGCAGGCAGTGCCGACGGCCACTACGCGTTCTCGCAGGAACAGCTGCAGCCCGCGGCAGGCAGTCCCGACGGCAGACGGACAATGCAGTCGAACCGCTCGTGAATGGAAGCCCAGAGTAGCGTAGATGCTGAGCGGGAACATTTCGGCGCCTGCGCGCACGTGGCGCGCGTGGCTGAACTGGCGCACCTGACGAAAATCGAACGCACGGGCCACATGGAGAAACTTGCGCACTTTGCACGCGTGGCGCACGTGGCGAACCAAACGCGCTTACTTAGCAACTGGCATGGCATTTCGAGGAAGAGCAGCCACGCGCCAGGCGGCACAGCCACAGGCGTCGGAAACAAACAGCGAACCCTCGCCACATCATGCTCTCCCGCCCCCATGGCTAACGTTGGCCGCCGCGGTCGTCCCTCGACGCGCCAGTTTCGAATTTCCAGGCGGGCGGCAGGCGTTCCCTCATTGTTTCCGCCTGCCCTCTCATGTCTCTTCCTGCCGCCGTTTGTGAGGACTGCTCGATCTTGCGGGTCGATTTATCTGCGGACCGGTATGGTAATGATGATGCCACGCGCGCCAGGTGTGCCAGATTTGCCAAATGCGCGCGTGTGCCGGAGCCGCAATTCGCTTTCAGTTAACCTCCGCAGCACTCCGCTGAAATGAAGAGCGGAGCGCGCGATGATTGACCGAGCCGAAACATACCGGGATTGAGACTTCACGTCCGACACATGGGTTGTACATGTATGGCGTTGTTGAGCTGTTGCATCTGCACCATGCGGCACCCACCTTGCGACGGAGTCTGAGGCACGGGCGCTGCCTTGTGCTCGCACGGATCGGCTGTTTTGGCGAGGGGGTGCCGCGGGCGCCGGCCCCCAACGCGTTTTTTGTTGTTGTAGAAGGGACAAATAAGTTGCCAAGGTGGCGTTGTCTGGAACCCGCGTGAGACTTGAAACCGGCGCACACTTGAGTTAAAATTCTTCACGTTTCGCGTCTCGCCACCAGCCCATTCATGAACACTATCATGGGAGCTGATGGGGGAAAGGGCGAGGGCGAGGATGATAAGAAGGAGAGCGAGAGTGTGGAGGATGGGTGTGGAGAAACGGGGGAGAGGCAGGGTGGAGTTTTGTATCTGCTCAAGGGGGCCCTCCTCCATTGGTTTTCTGGGGGCTTTCTTGGGGCCGTCTTGGGAGGTTATTGGGGCCTTCTGGGGCCGTCGTGGGACTTCTTGGGGCCATCTGCAGGCCTTTCTTTGGCCCATTTCCTCAAGCCGTCTTGGGCCGTCTTGGTGGCCTCTTGAGTTGTCTTGGACCCCTTCGGAGGCCCGTTTGCACCGTCTTGAGGCCATCTTTGGTCGTCTCAGGAAGTTCTGCGGGCACTCGCCGTCTTAGGAACATATGCAGCACTCCTGAGTGCCACATCGGGCTAGAAATAGTCAGGAACACAATTCATTGACATCTTTTCCTGCACGTGTCTCTCCCCCCCCGGTTCTTGGGCTTTCTTGGGGCCTTGTTTCTCGTTTGTTATAGCGTTTGTTTTATGCCGTCTGCGCGGTAGATGGGGCACACTTCTCCTGCGCCAGAGCCCAACGGGTCGACGAATTTCCTGGGGCGCGCTGGCGGCGGCGGCGAGGGGAAGCCGCCGGTGATGCTTGACGTGCGCTCGCCTGTGGAGTTCGCCCGCGGCCACATCCCGGGGGCCGTGAACTTGCCGCTCTTGAGCGACTCCGACAGGGAGGAGGTGGGCACGTTGCACCGCTGGAGCAGCGGCCAGGCCGCCTTCGACCTGGCGCTGTCTCGCGCCCACCCGCGCCTGGAGGCCCTGCTGCGACGGGCGGAGGAGCTCTGCGACCGCGGCCCCTCTGCGCCGCACGCGCTGGTCTACTGCAAGCGGGGTGGCCGGAGGTCGCAGTCGTTCGCGATGCTGTTGGCCCACCACGGCATCGAGGCCTACACCCTGGACGCAGGGTACACGGCCTTCAGGAATTGGGCCATGGATGTGCTCGAGCGGCCGCAGAAGTTGTGCGCTCTTGCCGGCGCGACGGGCAGCGGGAAGACCGAGGTCCTGGGGGAGCTGCGTGGCCTCGGCGCGCAGACCATCGACCTGGAGGCGCTGGCCTGCCACAAGGGCAGCGTCTTCGGCCACCTCGGGGAGCCCTCGCAGCCGAGCTCCGAGCACCTCCGCAACCTCATCGCCTGTGAGTGGGCCAAGCTCGATCCGGACCGGTTCGTGTTTCTGGAGGACGAGGGCTCCCGCATCGGAGACGCGCACTTGCCGGCCTCGCTCTTCCGGCGCCTCCGCGCCGCGCCGCTGGTGGTGCAGCTGGACGTGCCCTTCGCGCTGCGCGCGGAGCGCTCGCTGGCGACGTACGGGCCCTATGGCCCCGACGCCCTCGCCGAGGCGGTGCAGCACTTCCGCAAGAAGATGGGCAGCGACCGCACCCAGGAGCTCCTGGACCACCTCTCGCGCGGCGAGCTCCGCCCCGTCTGCGAGGAGGCCCTGCGCAACTACGACCGGGCCTACGACTACTTCCTCCGCAAGGGCCGCAACCGCAGCGCCATCGTCGCGGTGCCCGTGGAGTCCCTGGACGCGGCCGCTGCGGCGAGGGCCGTCCTGGCCGCCGCGCTGCCGCACGAGGCCTCGGCCCCGGCCGGCGCCGCGCGCCCCGCCGGGGCCGCCGCGCCGGGCGCCCCGGCGGGGCTCCGCGGCGCCGCCGCGGCGGAGAGCCCTGGCGGGGACCTGCGGCCAATCCTGGAGGCCCTGAGGGCCGCCCCCCGATTGGGCCCTCGAGCAGGGGGCCTGGTATCGCTCGGGCGTGTGTGTGTGTGTGTGTGTGTGTGTGTGTGTGTGTGTGTGTGTGTGTGTGTGTGTGTGTGTGTGTGTGTGTGTGTGTGTGTGTGTGTGTGTGTGTGTGTGGGTGTTTGTGTATGCGTGCGTGCGTGTGCGTTCGTGCGTGTGTGTGTGTGTGGTTGTGCGTG